CCCGGCCCTGCCTCTGAGGGTCTGGGGGCTGCTGCCTAGTCCTGCGCTGTGTGCTTGGCCAGAGAGGCGTGGGGGGTCTCGGTGGAGGGGCAGGGCAGCCGCTTGCTTGTCCTACAAAGAGAGCAAGCACGCAGTGGGGGCGAGGAGGCTGGGCTGGGAGCGCGGGGGGGACTACGGCTCCATTGATTGGTATTCTGCCTGGTTGCTCTCACTGGTTTGGAGTTAGCCTTAGCGATTGCCTGGCAACCGCAGTGTAAGAGTACAACACCAGCTCGGAGTCCAAGCCTGCTCCCTGCATGCTCCTACCCCTGCTCCCACGCCGCTGCCGGGCCGGCCCCTCCCCACTCGGCTCTGCGCGGACGCACGGGGAGAGGAAGGGGAGCTGGACAGCAAGCGAAGCTCAGGCATGCGGAGCCCAGAGGGCTCTGAGCACGGGGACGGCGGGCGGGCTGGCTGCCGCTAAGGTTTGGTCTGTCTGTCTGTCTGTCTGCTGTCTGTCCCGGCGCCGTGGGAAGGGGGTCCCGGCCGCTGCCACCATGGCTCTGCTGCGCCTCTCCCTGCCTGCCACGTCCATGTGCTGGTGCAAGTGCTGCGGGGGCAGCACCTTGTCGGCCCTGCCACTGCCCAGGCGTGCTTGAGGGCTGGCTCTTGCTGGTGTGCACCTCTCTCCAGCGGCACCTCCCGCAGGGCGAGCGCCCGTCCCGCTGGCGGGCAGCCCGCAGGAAGGGTGCCAGAGCAGAGCAGGCGTGGCCTGCCTGGGGCGTGGGCAACATCTCTCTGGGCGTGGGACTGGTGGCTCTGAATGTCTCTGCCCCAGAATCAGCTGCTGGGGGAGCTGGAGAAGGCCAGCTGACTGATGGCTGTGTACGGTGTATACACAATCACACATTGCACAGCCACACGTGTCCTTTCTCTCCCACAGCTCTGTCACCCCCCCTCGTGCCCCCGCCTCTTGCACTTCTCCATGCCCCTCGCACACTCAGACCCTCTTGCACACGCACACGGGGATTCACGGGAGCTAGCTGAATGCCTGCCAGACACTGCCTGCCATGGTAGGTGTGCTGATCCGTCCAACAGCCAGGGCAGGACCCGCTGTGGGAAGCGACGTCCCAGCACTTTGGGCTCCTGTCAAACTCGTAACAAACGGTGCTGGCGGTGAAACCACATTGAACCGTTCACACTTGGGTCGCAGTAGCTGGCACGTGGGAACCTCTCTCTGTCGGAGCAGCTCTGCTACTGGCGTTCGGGGCCGCGCGCTTGCCCAGCACCGAGTGCCTGAGACGGGACTTGGGGCCCGAAGTCAGGTCATACGGGCTGTGTGACCTTGGGCAAGTCGCTCCCATAATCCCCTTCTGGTGAAACCACATTGAACCGTTCACACTTGGGTCGCAGTAGCTGGCACGTGGGAACCTCTCTCTGTCGGAGCAGCTCTGCTACTGGCGTTCGGGGCCGCGCGCTTGCCCAGCACCGAGTGCCTGAGACGGGACTTGGGGCCCGAAGTCAGGTCATACGGGCTGTGTGACCTTGGGCAAGTCGCTCCCATAATCCCCTTCTGTCGCCTGGGGACAGTAGCCCTTTCCCTGCCCCCCAGGCAAACGTCCATTGGCCAGTTTGCCAGGCAAACTGCAACACACAGCGGCCCAGCTGCATTCCCGGGCCTGGGATCGTTTCTGTGCGCCTGAATGCAGAGCTTGTGACCCGCCCCCCCCACACACACACATACACAACATGCTGGTGGGGTGTGCTGAGAATTGTTGACTCACCACTCCAGCCAGGGGCGTCCCGTTTCTCCCCAGGATCGGGGGCTGGGGGGTACAGAGAGTTTGCCTCTAGCCAGCAAGAGGATCGTTGGGTCCATGTGGCCTCTTTGCGCCTTGGCCTCCATGGAGGTTGCCTGCAGGGCGGGCGGTGAGCACAGCTGTTGATGGGGACGTCTGCCAACCATGCACCGGGCCATCCCCATCCCGACAAGCACACCTGAGCGCTTCCGGCGCTCCCTTGCATGGCTTAGATGTTCCTGGCAGGCTGGTGAATGAAAGGTGTTAAAGGAACACGTCTGCTTTTGTCTTTCAGAGCCTGGGGTCTGCAGACAAGAAGGACTTCAACCAGCCCAAGTAAGTGCCGGTGGCCTGTGTGCGCACAGGAGTGTGCGCGCCCGAGTGGAAAATCACTGTTGCAGCCTGTGATTGGGGGAACGGCCGTACGGGGTTAAAATTAGCCACGCCTGCGGATGAGAACAGCTGCTGCCGCTCCCCTTGCTAGGACCACTCCCCGGGGGCTGCCAGGCGCTTTGCTTCCGGGCAAAGGCAGATCCCCAGATGAGGTCAGGGACAGGCTGCTGTCCTGTGGCCTTGGGAAGAGGGGGGTGCCGAGACGGTCTTTCCCACTGTGGCCACCCCTGGCTCCAGGATCATATTGAACACGGTGCGGTTGGGCCAGAGAGTCTGGGGCGCGGCCGTAGGGTGTAACAGGCTGGTCCTGAAGCAGAGCTTTCCCTGCCAGCGTTTGGGCACATGCTTCCCCCTCATTCCTTCTGCACCCAGTCGTCCCCAGGGAGGGCGAAATCGGGTTGGAGGGCTGTGGATCGGCCGTAGCCATGATCACAGACAAAGGCTCTCCCCATACTCCACCCACCCAGCAACAGCAGAGCGTCCACATGGACCCTCGCTCTTATCCACGAGACCGTGAATAACTAGAGCCCACAAGTCGGCAGGTATCGCGTCCGCAGAGGCCAGTGGAGAGCTCCCTGGCTCATTAGACGCGGACTCACGTTTTGTATCAGTGCAGCGTTCTCTGACGCCAGCCCTTGCACCAGCCCCTGTGTCTTGGTCCCTGAGCGAAGTACAGCCAAAGCCCTTGCCTCTGGAAACTGGGCCGTTACACCAAACGTGCAAGGCCTTTTGGTACAGGAGGGCTTCCTGTTTGAGGCGCAGCCCTGCCAATGTGATCTCTGGATACACGCGACCTCTTAGAACTAGAGACGCTTACAGCATCCGGTCCTGGCGGGGGAGCCACTCCTGGGGCCCTGCGGCGCAGGGACGTTGAAGGTTCACGTGTGTGTGGACAGGCTGCTGTCATCGCCGCGCTGACCTTTTTCTGAACTTGTTCAACCTGCTCCCCCAGTGCGCCGAGGTATTTCTGGTGCTGGGCGCTGTGGAGCGAGCTGGAACGTCAGGGAACAGTGGTAGCATTTTCTCCTTCAAGGGGATGGGGTATGGAAGAAACGTCTTTAAAAATAGAGTTGTTCTGCTATTTATTTCTCCTGGTTGCTTTCCAAAGCACATCTCCCGAAGGTTCCTTTTCAGCACTGTGCTGTGAGCGTGAAACAGCCTCTGTCGGTGCCTGGGCTGGTTGCGCTAAGCATCAGAATAGATAGCTGTGGAGCGCCCCTCGGTTTCTGACTTCACATGGCTTGACTAACAGCGAGCGTTGCTTGCAGTGTGTGATGTGTGGGTTGGGTACGTCTGTGTGTATTTCTTCCATCCCTCCATCGACATTCCCTTGATTTGTCTGTTGCCAAGATGGGCCAAAAGAAATGCTGAACATTAGGCTCCAAATTTCATATTTAGAAACCGAAATTACAGGAGCTCCCAGTCCTCTGGCTTCGGGGCGGGCATGTGCTGATCATCCATTTTTAAACGTCAGTGGAGCTGCTGGGCGCTCAGCTCTTTGGAAAATGAAAGCGCGTATGTAGGTGCCCAAACCTGCCGCAGGTTGCTGGAAGCGCTGAGGCTCTGGGCGGAGCTCTGACCCCACACTAGGTGGAGTGAAGAAAGGAAGCGACTGTGGCTGAGCCTTTGATTTCCAGGTGTAGCCTAGTTAACCGCCCTCGGGGGCTGGCCTGAGGCGCCGTATGTGGGGCGCGTTGTCCCTGAGGCGAGAAGCATGAGCGTGCCTCTTTCACGCTCTTGTGAGACTGCTCACCACAGACGCGGGAGGCAAACACTGGAGATTCGTCTTCAATGGAGAGGCCGAGCCATGGACCCCTCCAAGCCCCGCACTGCAGGAGAACCCAAGAGTCTCCTAGAGCTTCCTCCAGACCATCCCATTGTGTGTGGGGGGGGGGGTTGCCTGCCGCAAAGAGGGCGCTCTCCCCCACCCACTGAAGTCACAGGATAGTGGGCTAACCCAGTGGTCCCCGGACGGGTGTTGCAGGGAGGTCAGGGCATTTGCCCGAGGCGGGGGGCTGCAGTGCTGTTTGCTCTCTGGGCTCCTCCATTGCCCTTGGTAACGGTTTCCTGCTTCCCTGTGCCAAGCCCTGCCCTGGGCCAGGCTCACGTGTGAGTTTGGAGTTAGCAGGGCTGCCGGGGGGCTGATGTGTTCGGAGCAGCCCTTCCCTGGCCACAGCTCTTGGCCTGCCCAGAGACCATGGGGGGGGACGGGGGACGTGCCACTCCGTTGTCTCCCCAACAGACTGAGGCATCCCTGCACATTGGCTGGTGTTTTCCTGCCCTGCAGGTTCTCAGACGCGTCTCGGCCCTCAGACCGCGTAGCTGCGCCTGCCAGCGTGGCGAGGACCCCGTGCTGGCTGAGTGGGCTGCAGTGTCAGACCATGGCCCGAGCACTCATAAGCCGGCAGTGAGTTTGCACCCTGCCGGCCTGTGCAGGAGTCGCCGGGGGCCAGGTAGCATTATACGCCCAGCTGAGCAGCGTTTGACAGGTGCAGCACCGGGCCTGGCATGCGGAGCTGGTGTCTCCGCTGCCCAGCGGGGCTGTGGTTTGATACCCTCTCCCGAGAGGGGGTGCGATGCATGCATACTGCTGCGGGTCTCCTGGGCGCCAGTGGGGAGGGCTGGGCTAAGGACTCGTCAGGGCGTGCTCAGCGTGTCACGACTGGCTGTCAGAATCGGATGGGCGATGTTCCGTAAACCCTGCCTCCCGCCGCTTACCTTGCACTCTTCCATAGCCCATTGGCCTCTGGGCGCGGGGCGGGCGGAGGACTCAGAATGCGTTTCTCTAGCAGCTTTGGCCCCAGGCGCCGGGCAGCCATTGCCCCGTGAGGCATGTGCACCGACGCTCCCAGGTGTGCCCTGGAGAGGGGGACTTGCCTGCCAAGGAGTGAAACCTGGACAGTGTCGCTGCGCCGATCCCGTTTGCAATAGCCGCACGCGCCCTGGAGCCCTGGCGCGGTCTTGTGCCTGCTCGCCGCAGGCGCCATTTCGGAGCTCGCACCAGCTTTCCGGGTCACATGCCCAGAGGCCAAAAGGCTGAAGGTGGCGAAGGGTTGAGCAGGTTCCTCCCTCCCTCCAAGGGACTGCCACCGCCGCCCCCGTCCATCGTACCATCTTCCCTGCACTGCAGTGACGTCACAGCGCTGCGCTGAGTAGGGGAGAGGGATCAGGCCAACGCTGAGCGCTTCGGAAATCCCACCGAGCATCACGGCCGGAAGTGTCTCCTGATATTCGTCCCTCGCTCTTGTTCATAAACCCCCCACCTCACGGGTTGTGGCCCTTGGGCAGCGTCCCCGCCGTGTGGGTAAGGCTCTGCAACTGCCCCGTGTGCCTTGGCTAAGAGCAAGCAAATGAGTTTCATAAATCATGTGCAGTGCATTGGAGCCAACGGAAGGACTCCCATTGGCATCAGCCAGGTCTTCGTCAGCCAGGCCCTGAAGACACTGTAGCGACTCTTCTCTGACTCCCCGCAGATCGACAAGCTGCCCACAACAGAGACCGCCCAGGCCCAGAGCAGGGCCGTGCACGGGCCCCTCACCTTTGAAGCTAGAGTCATCGGCCACGCTCTCCTGACGGAATTAGGGTCGTCCCTGTTTGGGGAGCCACGTCCTGTCCTGAGCTGCTTTGGGTTTTAACATTCCTCTCATCAGGATCCTTATTTCAGCCCAACTTCCCTGACTTCTCAGCCTGGCTGCCGGAGGAGTCTGGACTGGAAAACCAAGAGGAGCTGCAAATTCTAATAAACGAACGCATCAACATTTCCGTGTCCCCTCCACGCACAGGCAGGGCCTCCCAGACGTGGCAGGTTCTCGGGGCCAGATTCACAAAGGGGTAGGCACTGAGCAGGCCTACAGAACAGCACACACAGGGCTACGGCCATTGACTTCCAATGGGAATGAGGTGCCTAGCTTACCGAGCAGCTTCTGAAAACCCCTCTAGTGTCTGTCTGCCTCTTCAGCTCTCTGAATAGCCCCAGCCCTCAGCCCTCCCTCCTGCTCCCCTTCGCCCCCCTTTGTTCTTACTCCCTACCCTTGGGTTCCTACCTCGGAGCAGGCCCTCGCCCGCCCTCTGGCCTGTGCCCAAGCCCTTTGCAGAGACTGAGCTGTGTCACATGGGTCTGTAAGAGGTGGGTTTCGCTTCCTCTTCCCACCCCCCCAAGCGCAGGACCTGACTCCTGGATTGCCAGCTCTTTGGCCGGGGCCTTGGTTTGCAGCATTCTTACTCCCTACCCTTGGGTTCCTACCTCGGAGCAGGCCCTCGCCCGCCCTCTGGCCTGTGCCCAAGCCCTTTGCAGAGACTGAGCTGTGTCACATGGGTCTGTAAGAGGTGGGTTTCGCTTCCTCTTCCCACCCCCCCAAGCGCAGGACCTGACTCCTGGATTGCCAGCTCTTTGGCCGGGGCCTTGGTTTGCAGCACCAGTGCGGGGCGGGGCCAGAGAAGCCCCCACAGGGGGAAGATCGGGGCAGACTGGGGCTTTCTGCTGGGAATTTGAAGAACAGAGGCACGTGGGTATTTCTGAGCACCACTAACTCCCCCCGCTCCCCTGTCTGCTGTGAGCCGGACGTAGTTTAGCTGCTGCCACTTGGCCCCGTGACTCTCTCCTTCCCGGTCTGGTCTCCAGTCGGCATAACTCTTAGGTGAAGTTCATCCCTGTTCACCGTCTACACTGAAGCCGTATACTTGTATATACAGGCAGTCCCCGGGTTACGTACAAGATAGGGACTATAGGTTTGTTCTTAAGTTGAATCTGTATGTAAGTCGGAACTGGCATCCAGATTCAGCCGCTGCTGAAACTGATCAGTTTCAACAGCGGCTGAATCTGGACGCCAGTTCTGACTTACATACAGATTCAACTTAAGAACCCCAGGCTCCGCGGCTTTGCTCTGCTTTGCTCCCCGTCCCCCTGGTCTGCAGACCAGGGGGACGGGGAGCAAAGCGGCGGA